TAGCAGTAGCAGTAGCAGTAGCAGTCGCAGTCGCAGTCGCAAACGCAGTCGCAGTCGCAGTAGTAGTAGCAGTAGCAGTAGCAGTAGCAGTAGCAGTAGCAGTAGCAGTAGCACTAGCAGCAGTAGTAGTAGTAGTAGTAGTGGTGGTGGTGGTGGTGGTAGTGGTAGTAACAGCAGCAGCAGCAGCAGGAGTAGCGAGTGGTCTTTACAAGCGGAGCCGCAGCACAAGTTGATGGTGCTAGCAGTGGCAGGAAAACCTACTGAAGCATGAAGCCCTTCGTGGCGCCTGCCACGGCAATGCTGGTAACGCCATCGTAGTGCGGAGGGTGAAGGGTCCTTGGTGGGTTCGGCACATCCGTGCGTCTCTCGCAGGCATGTCCTGGTGCCTGATCCAGCACACTGGCAGCGAGGCTCGGTGCACACAGAAAGAACAACGAAATCGCCTAGCCTACAAAGTTGTCTTTTTCGCGGGCGAAACCTACACTAAGGATGATGATGGCGATGAAAGTGCCGATAAGGGTGGTGGGGATGAGGATCGTTGTGGTCGTCAGCGAGCAGCACCCTCTTGTTCCACCCCCAGAACGATCTGTAACCCAATGTCCCGCAAAGCTGCTTGACTAATTGCTTGCCAGGCACTTGCTCACCGCCCAAGTGGAGGCATTCCAGACTTTAAGTGACCTCAGGCGCGGTGTGTGGAGTCGATCTGCTCGACAGCCTATACCTGTGTCGTCCTCAGACCACTCATCCATGAACCCATGTGAAGAGGGCAAACAGAAATCTGCTACATGCAAGGCAAGCGGAGTGAAGGAGCCCGAACCCCGCCTCGCAGTTTCAGAGACAAAAGCCCCCAGAAATGTCCCTTTAAGGGCTCCGAATCATGCCAAAGCACCGGTCACGCGCACCCGACACGACCTCCGCAGAGCCACAACGTGGAACAAAATGATGCTGAAAGGCTGATGACGCGGGCAGAATGGTCCTTCTTGGGTGCTCGAATGATTTTGACGGCTTCTGGCCACGAGCTCGTCTCCGGCTACGCCATGCTTTCTCGGACCGTCGCGAAGCCTGTCTTAAGGAAAGCATGCAGTGACGGCAGCCTACCACTGACACGGCACGATTGGAAGAGTTGCTCATAGTCTGGTGTACTGTAGGGTTCGTGAGTGGAGCGGCTGCGGCTTTGAAACTCCAAGGTTTTGGTCCGATCCTGTTCCGTCCGCCGAAGATCCAGCGCAGAACACAAGCACCCGAGCCCTGCTGCTCGCGAGCCTGCAACGGCGACCCGAAGCGGTCCAAGGCGAACACCTCGAAGCTCAGAAAGACAAGCTACGCTCTACGAGAAAGTCTCGAAGCTACCCCAAGTGGCACGCATTTCCCGGAAAATCAGTCTGTCCTGGGTACTAGTAACCGGTGCCTCGCGGACCCCATCCCATCTTCACAGGGCCCCTGAGAAGATGACATTAAAAGGCCAAAAAAAGCGCAAACAAAGGCCAAGAAGTGCAAGCCAGTGGCCCCTCCAAGATGTGCCGCCTCTAGGCAGGCCACGGCCTGTGTGGTTTCAGGCAGGGGGACAAGCTCGACACACCCAGAAAAATCTTGCGGCTCAAAGGAGTCACGCACATCTCGAGGGCTCCCATATCAGCGGATGTCTGGGCAGTTTCGTTTGGTGAACTGTTATTACCGCTAATCTAACCATGCGCTGCCGCTGCTGCTCCGCCTCCTGCTGCTTAGTGCTACTGCTTCTGCTGGCCCATCTCATCCATGTCAGGTATCTCTTGCTGCCTCTGCCCACTGGGCCCATCATCTTGGGCTTGCTGAGGTGAGGTTACGAAGAGGCTTTTGGTTCCGGGTTGATGTCTCGGGGTCCTCAGCAGAGCTCGGCAGTGCATGTAGGAACTCTAAATTCCGCAGGTCTCTACGTGCACCCTGTGATTTCCAGTGGCAAGCTTTGGGAAGCGTTCTCGGATATGATATGCTATTCTATGCTATGATATGAGTCGATATGAGATGCCTCGCCTTGCCAGCGTTGCCTGCTGGATGTCACGTGCTCACCTGCACTTCTAGTGCTGTGCCGAGCCAAATGCCTCAAAGGTCGCCAGGTCCCACACCCGGATGGATCCTGAGGATCTTCTGTGGCTCCCGCGGGTGACAGCTCAGGTTTCGGGCTGAGCGCTCAAGGCTCCGGGCAAGGTCTACACGCGGTGCCCTGAGCTCCGACTCAGTCAGCACAAGAAATGCAGCAATCGCCCACCCCGAACCTGATCCCTTACAATCCCGAACAGATAGGTTCTAGAGAAGTGCCGAAATCTGGAATCGACTCTGTACATTCCCCCGCCTTCCTCAGACCGGATGTACATGGGATGCCATGAAACATATCCATTCCCGTTCCGGGGCCCTCTGAAAACCCAATGTGACGAGTGTCGATCTTCCGAACCAGAAACGAGAACGTCTGCCCCCTCCAGAATCAGGATCGCATTCACCTCACAGTGGCTGCGGCCACAACATCTGCTACAGAGGGCGGGTGACTGCTCGAGTTAAACGAGCCCGTACAATTGCATGCATCTGAAAGAGTGCTTTTGGACTTGAGTGAACTTCAGTTCGTCGACAAAGATGATGCAACCAGCCAGGGGACAGGGGCCTGTATGCTAGCGTTCCGGCAACAACGGGCTCACATCAGGGGAAGTCGTCCGAGGTACCGTTTTGCCACCGCAGGCATTTTATTTCGTGATCTCCCGCATCTCCCGCCCACAATGCTGCCGAAGTCACACCCCCAGTGTGGCCCAGCAGCGTCTTCACTGTTGAGAATGTCCTTAAGAAGATGTCGACCAATCAAACACATGCATTGTCTTCTGCCCGGTGCCGATATAATCATCCAACTGGGTCTTTTCGTTCCAGTGGTCTCGACACTGCCTGAGGCTCTCTTCTTGTCCCCTGGATGGCCTTTGGCAAGCAAGGGGAAGGAAGATCTAGCGAGCAGCTGCACTGCTCCACTTCGAAGTGAAAGACATAAGAACCCTCGAAGACAGAGCCGAGTCGAGTCGACGCTATCCCCATGCTGTTGTGGCACTTTCGCTATTCTGCGGTATTCCCGAGCTCTGGGAGGCATCAGCGCCTACAGCATCCATTCGCCCGTCTCAGGATACGATGCCATGTGATTCGGACAAGAGCCGTGGTATTGGCCGGGACGCAGCTGAGTGGTAGCCCAACTCGCAAGCGCATCAACCGTTCCGACCGTCGCAGGTCGTCTGGAAGTGTCCCAGGGCTTCGTGAGGTTAAATGTGGATGTCAACGTCTCGCCTTGGCTCTGTGTGCCTCGCGAAGCATGAGGCTGTGAGTTGGAAACGTAGCTTTGCAGCTTCGGGTGATCCTGGAGCACGAGCCCGGCCCACATCGTCGGTGCCCCCTTGCTGGGCTCCACCCTGGGCTCCTCCAGCAAGCCAGTGGGGGACCCAAAGCGGGAGCACGGGGAGCACGGGGAACTCCCGATCGAACTCGGCAGAGAACTAAAGGAGCTCCAGGTCCCTGATGCCGCCATTTCCGGGACACGGGCAATCGACGGCAGTGGCCTGCAGGACTTCTTCAGTTGCAAGCGTGCCGCTCGCTCCCGCTCGATGCTGGCATGCCAGCTTGCGCTGCCCGTGCGGGACATCAGCTCCAGAGGCATCGTATGTGTTAGGTCTTTCGGGGAAAACAGACCTTCCAAACTGTGCGGGCCACTCGAGCCATAGTCAAAGTCGAATTGCGGCCTTCATTGCTCTAAGTCATGCAAACGAGCGCTATCGGCCCTACAACTGGCTGCAAACAACCATCGACTGGCCTGATGTGCGCCAGCTCGTCGATCCGCAACCCTTGAGTCCCGAAACCCCCGAGTTGCCCTCTATACCTGCGGGAAGCCCAAAAAGCACCGCACAAGAGGCGCCAAAAGAAAAGGCCCAAAAAGCCCCCAAAAAGCCAGGGGCCTAGCGGGGCCTAGCGCTCGGAGCCTAGTCTGCTGCGCCCGCTACCTTTGCCGGTGAGCCGGGCGACTCGAGGCTCCAAATGCGGATGGTGCGATCCTGGGACCCCGAGCACAGCACCTCAGGGACTTGGGACTTCATGGGTTTTTCGGGTTTTTTGGGGGGTGCTACAAATATGTCGCGCTTCGGGGGCTTGCAGAAACAGGCTTCGGACTCTCACAGCGCGGCGGACTGGGGCGAGGATACAGTCTGACTGGGAGGTGCGTGAGTTAATTGCATGGACGGGAGCATGAGTGAGAGCGAGAACGAGAGTGGGTGGTGCAAGCGCAAGTGGAGCAGAGCGGAGTCAAGCAAGTGACTGACTGGATGGATTCAAGCGGAGAAGAGCGGAGTGGTGGAGCGGAGTGAGCACGCGGAGAATGCACGCGTGTGTGTGTTTCCGCGTGTCTAGATCCTTCAAGTGGCCTTCTTCGCATAGCTAGCGTACAGGCACTTGACGAAGCCCTTGTGCCCAGGCAGGGTGCCTATGTACCTGGGCTTGTGCTACTTGGGGCCAAAGGCCGGTCATGTGATTGCAAGGCACTGGACAATGGAGACATGCAATTGCGGCGCAGTCTGACTAGAATCACTAGAGTCGCTAGAAGGCACGAAGGTGTTAGCAAGCTTTGCATAGCTTTGCCATGGGCCGACTGCACATTCAGCCTGGTACCTGAATCAAGCCTCGCCCTGGCATTCCCAAGGTGCTGCAGGTTGTTGAGGTCCCAAATCATGATGTCACCATCCTGGGACCCAGTGAAAAGGATGTCCCCGACGCCGCACAGACATCTCGGCTCGGAGCAGGTTCGAAGCACCAGACTCTCAAACCCCCTACCCCTACTTTCTCCTAAACGTCCAGCACTTTCATGGCACAGACTTTGCAAATCGCGGCAGAAGCGCAAGACCCGTGGTATTCTGATGAAAGAGTGCACACTACTCTCTGAGAATTGCAACCCAAACGATCCTTTTTTGATCTCAAGGATTTGCCGATGCCCCCAAGGCACAGCACCGACCCCGTGTGTCCGGCGAGGATGTGCACACAGTGCTCCTGTCATTTCGGGCTGTTTAAGGAGCTCAAAACAGTTTATAGCTTATGGACTTATGGTGTTCAATGCTGTCGGACTCGACTTGTCGGTCTATCTCGCCAGAGCCAGTCGAAAGCACGTACTCCTCCTGAGCAAAGACGTGCAAGAAACCCTGCAGGAAGGCTCTCCTCTGGGGCACTCTGGTGCGCTGTCGGCGTTGTGCTGCCCCCGACCTTCGCTGCTCGCTCTCCCGTCTGATGTGCAGAAAAAAAACATACAGTAGCGGGGACAGAACTGATCTCGCTGCATCCTGATTCATGCGATGAGAGAACGATAAGCAAGAAGAGGACGATTCCAACGGTGCGCATTCACAAGCTCAATCAAGAAGACGGCAAAGCCCATAGAAATCTGGCGAAAGAAGATGATACAGGCGAGGACAGTGACGAGGATTGTATAAACAGGGAGGGCGAGCATCACGAAGATCAAAGAAATGATGAACATGCTGCAAAATAACAAGTGGTCCTGAAATGAAGATGGGAGTGAACGACTCTCCATTTTCCATCATGTCAGTCTCCCTTCGCCTCCGGCACTCTCTGCCGAGGAGCTGAAGCGTGGAGCCCTCCGCTGCGTGCAGGGCGTGGAGGTGACTTCCTGGGCTTTTTGGTTTTATGAGAGCTGAGATCACGCATGCAAGTTGGGGTGCAGACGGGTGCCCAGGATCTCTCAGACTCTGCTGCATCGCAAAGTCAGGCTGGGACTTCCGGAATCGGATGCACGGAAGCTTCGACGGAATACAGACAATGACGGGAATCCTCCACTCTAGTCATGAATATCATCGCTGTACAGTCTTTGGAGTTGCCGGGCTCTGGCCCCCCAAAGCCCCTCGGTTAGAATCTCCCTTAAGACCAATGATTAAGACCAATGATTGCCGATGCAAGTCCCGTAAGTCGGACATTGACGTCCGGGCGACTGCCTTGGTGGCGACTTGTCTCGCTGTCGCTCCTCCAGAGACAACGGAATCAGAGTCAACTCGGCCCAAGTCTTGATGAGTTTCAACCGCAAGTGGTCCAAAATCGAAGGCCTTTTGCTGCTGGACTATACGATCAGTTCAAGATGCCGGACATTCATTAACAAGTCTCACCGGCTTGACATCGATTGCACTGCGAAAACCGTACTAGTGAAACACCTCGAGACCCTTGCCCTCCCTGGGCACCCGATCTCGGCGAAGCTGCCCACTCATGGAGTGGTTGCCTCAAACCAAACGGAGTTTCAGGTCTTCTAGTATCCTACTTGCCCGTCAAGGTCGTATCTACCCTCCACAGATATCACGAAAAAAGGTGCAAAAGGTGTCCACACAAGACTCGCCAAACCTTTGCGAGGTGCTTGGCGACTGCTGCATCTTCGCCCGCGACTCCTGGCGTTAAGAGTCGAAGATATGGCTTATACATTCCTTGAAGCTGTGCTCCTTCAGAACACTGCTCTCTCTTTTGTCGCGGTGGCTAAGACTAAGACTAAGAGATGGCCCTCCAAGGAAGGCAGTTCTTCATGAACTCGGACATCCCTCAGAGCTCTCTTCAACCCTCCTGCGGAGAGCCGAAAACGTGGGAATTGCTGTACTAAACGCACGGCCAAGGGGATTTGGGTGCCGAAAGGAGGGCCGCCAGTAGCTTCCAGCCAGGTTTGCTGACTAAATGACCGACTTGTTCTTCACAAGAGTGCCTTTCCAGAGTTCGTAAACCTTCCTGGAAGCCCTCTGGGGAATCAGGTGGGCCTCCACACCCTGCGCACAATATGAGAAGCCGCTGAGACACAGGTGGCTCTCTCTTCACAACTGCTCTTATCCTCGACTCGTCTCATACTCGGCCTCTCCAGAATGCATGTCTTCAAAAGCTGCCGTCAGTGCGGACAACATCTCACCATCTCTAGAAGCACGGCGTGCCCGTCAAGCTCAAAACTTGCCTGTTCAAAAGAGACCTCTGCTCCGGCTCTCTGGACGATGTCAAAGGCCTGGGGGTTTCTCCACTTCTGCTTGCTCCGGTAGAGAAGCAAGTGCTTGCTTCCATTGTCTGAGGGCCGGGGCAGCAGCACCAGACTTGCGCTGCTTGTTCGACACATGGGCTTGTTCATTTACACAGAAATATCGCACAAGCGTGTAGCTTGGAAACTGGAAGTAAAATTAAGAGTCTCAGTAGGCTTATGCCTCACTCAGGGGATGCAGCGAGAATGTCCTCTGAGCATCCTGCAGAGAACTTCTTGAAGTTGTCCTTGAAGAGCGTGGCTAGCTTGACTGATGCCTTCTGGAACTCGTCCTGGCTCGACCAAGTCTTGTTGGGCATCAGGATCTTGCTGTCCACGCCGGCACAGGACTTTGGCACTTGGAGGTTGAACCGCGGGAAAGTCTCGAACTCGCCCCCTGCGAGGTTGCCATCGTGGATGGCATCGATGATGGCCCGGGTGTCCTTCAAACTCATGCGGTGGCCGACTCCGTAAGATCCTGGGCTCTCAAGGCTTACCGGGCTTACCTCAAATTGAGTTGACGGTGCATCCCTGTTATGGTAACTTCGAGGCTTCAATCGCCCAGGATCCGCCGGTCCAGCCGGTGTTAATGAGCCAGGCGTTCACGTTGTGCTGAGCCATCTTCTCGGCAAGGAGCTCGGCATACTTGGCGGGATGCCACACCATGAAGGGAGCCCCGAAACAGGCGGAGAAGGTGGCAGTAGGCTCAGTGACGCCCATCTCTGTGCCGGCCACTTTGGCAGTGTACCCCGAGATGAAATGGTACATCGCCTGCGCTGGCGTCAGCTTTGACACCGGAGGCAGCACGCCGAAAGCATCGCAGGTCAGCATGATGATGTTCTTCGGGTGCCCCGCGACGGCTGGGATCTTGACATTCGGGATGTATTCAAGGGGATAGGACACCCTGGTGTTCTCGGTGATGCTGACGTCATCGTAGTCTACCTGGCCGCTGCGCTGATCGAAGACGACATTTTCAAGCAAAGCCCCGAAACGAATGGCATCCCAAATCTCCGGCTCCTTCTCCCGGCTCAAGCCAATGGCCTTTGCATAGCAGCCTCCCTCGATGTTGAAGATGCCCTGATCCGTCCAGGCATGCTCATCGTCGCCGATTAGCAGCCGGTGCTCGTCAGCCGAAAGCGTGGTCTTTCCAGTGCCACTGAGGCCGAAGAAGACCGTCACATCGCCCTTGTCCTTGCCGGCATTGGCGCTTGCATGCATGCTAAGGATACCCTGCTTTGGTAAGAGGTAGTTCATGATGGTGAAGACGCCCTTCTTCATCTCGCCGGCATACTGCGTGCCGAGGATCACCACCTCCCTGCTCGCGAAGTTGAGCGAGACGGAGGTGCCCGAGGTCATGCCCTCCGTCGCGCGGTTGCACGGGAACGCCCCGGCATTGTAAATCGTGTAGTCCGGCTCTCCGAAGTTCGCAAGCTCTTCGGCCGTCGGCCGGATGAGCATGTTGTGCATGAACAGAGCATGGTAGGCACGGCTGGTAATCACTCGAACCTTGTACCGGTACTTCGGGTCCCAGCCAGCGAAGCCGTCCAAGACATAAAGCCTCTCCCGGGTGTTCAGGTAATCGATGGCACGCTCGCGATTGATCTTGAAGGTCGACTCCGAGACTGGGATGTTTACGGCGCCCCACCAGATATCATCCTTGGTGCTTGGCTCCTCCACAACGCGCTTGTCCAGCGGTGATCTCCCGGTCTTCGCGCCGCTGAAGGCTGCCAAGGCCCCCGTCGAGAGAATCGCCGAGCCCTTCTCATAGCGAAGGGCCTCGTCATAGAGGGTTCCTGGCCGGGCGTTGTGCTGCACCACTTTCGTGTGGATACCCAGGCCCTCCAGCAATTTGAGGTCTGCATCTGCGTGGGCATGGTAATCTGCAGGCACGGCAGGGATCGGCTGTGTGCTCGCACTCACGCTCAGGGCATCAGCGATAACCTGGCGGATCTTCCCCTGGTCCATCGCAAGGCGGCCCACATGTAGCTGACGCTGCCCAATGGTGCGGACTGCACGGGCCAGAGGTCGAAGCAACGACTGACGAGGAGCCATGACGTCCGCGGCTTGGGGACGATCGCAGAGCTCCAGGGAGGCACTAGGACTAGGAAATCTCACCAATACGGCTTTGAGCCCCAGGCATGCATCGCATGGATTTATAGTCGCACATGCACAGGAGCACAGCAGCATCCAATTGGCGCTCCGTGGATGCCACGGAAGACACGGAGCTCATCTGACCGCGGCTCGAATTCCTCGCTGGGCTTCGGATTTGAGGCATCGCAGGATTGAAAAAATGACCCTGGATGATGTTGTTGACCCGGAAGCTGGCCATGACTGAAGACGGCAACTCCTCTGCAGGCCCTGAGCCTTCACTCCTCACTCCAAAGACAAACCGTCCATTACCATCCAAACAGCCCTTTCTTGAATCCGTCCCGGCGAAGGCATCGGCTGCAGACAAAGCCACAGCACGCGGCTTCCAGTGGCTTGAGGCCGCTCGCGCGGAGCGGCAGCAGGGCTAGGGCGCAGCACGGTGTTCACCACCCACCTGCAAAGACTTGGATGTCTGGCGTTTGGACTTCCTTTTTTATGGGCTTCTGCAGAGCGCCCGGTTGCTGCTGCTATGTTTACTGCTGCTACGGCTGCGGCGGGGGCTACTCAAAACCTGATCCTCAACAAATCCAAAGAAGCACTGGTCCCGCGAAGCAGCCCGAGGCACAGGTGGATATCGTTGGGTATTGTCGGCGACAGAACGACCACATCATCCCCATCCTCGACACTTCGATGAAAGCTTGGATGCTGTGCAGCTTCCGGAACGGATGTGCGGCCGAAGGCTGGGGTGTGGGATGCATGCCTTATGATGATGGGCCTTCCGAAATGACTTGCATCGTGAGGGTTTACGCTCTCGCAACTCCAACAGGGCCGAGATCTCTCGGAGCTGCGAGGGTTTAAGGTCGAGGGTTCCCTGCCCATGGCGTCAAATTTCAAAGGTGACCCGCCTGCAAGGCAGGTTGGACCTGATACAGCAACAAGAAACCGAAGTCTGAAACCTAAACCCTTCGCAAAAACATTTACCAAAAAACGGCTGCTTCTGATGCTGATGATGATGATGATGACCGTGTGCCCGTGATAACAGAAGGGGGCAGAATAAACAGTCAGGTTCGCACAACAGCAGCAACCCGCGGCCATAAAAAACACAGCCCCGCAGCACCAGAACAGGCATCCCAGCATGAAGAGAGTAATCGTAGGCATGAAGGCAGAAACCGAAATCGTAAGGAAGCGAGATTGCCGACCATACGGCCATGAATGACATGGAGGCATTGGGGGATAGGGGGGGGGGGTGGACAGCATCAGTGAAACCTCATTAGCGCAAAAACTGCAACCCAGTCTCATCCTACAGAACCCGGTACAATCATCAACCCATATGAAACCTGTCAGACAAACTGCCCAAGATGAGCCAGGCCTGAAAGGCTACGAGAACCCGAAGACACCAGAACCAAGTTCGTGAAGAGCAATGAGGCTTGTCCGAACCCTCATAAGCACTCCTAAACTAAGTGATGCTGCACAGGCCTTCTTGCAAAAGCCCGAATCGTGAATCTTATCTTACATAATAAGCCATCAGACGAAATATGAGCAGGGTATCCTGACGGCCTAGACCCAACCCCAAAAAATGCAAACCCTAGACCCTAGACTCTAGACCCTCAAGCCCTCTACAAAACTGGGGAACTTGAAGGATCTTGCGGAAGCCCAATGTCCCTCCAAAAGAAATCGACCCTGAAGACTTTAAGAAGCCTCAAGCCCAGTGTCCCTCAGCTCAATCGCCGCGTTGTCCGGCAGGCCGGCGGCTCGGGCGATGGAGCGTTCCTCTGCAATGCAAAGACTGACTTGAGCGGGGCGATTTGTCATCATTGTTAATCTCTTGGAGGCTCGGAAGCAGTGGAGATTATGGCAAATCATTTTGGGGTGCTTTGGGCCGAGAGACGCAAGCCATGGCGTGAGGTGAAAACTCTGTGGTGGATGAGACTTGACCGCGAGAGCGACAAATCGGCGTGCCAGTTGAGCGAACGTGCGCTCGGCACTCGGCAGGAAGCAGCTTTTCCGGTTGATGTACATCCCAAGAGCTCCTAAAAAAACGGATCATAGCAGGCAAGCAGGCAAGGCACGATCTGAGCGACAGTGGCGCCGGGATACCTGAGCCACAGGCGCTCGCTGAGGTGGCGCTTGCTTCAAGACCAAGGCTCGGAACAACGACCCATGAGTCTCTGTACTCCAATACTCGTTGTTGTTGTTGAAGAGGACCGTACCACCCTATGTACTCCAATACTCAGTGAAGCAACCCCTGCTTCCATCTGCCCCAAGACTACCAGACTCTACGAACAGGCCCTGAGCACGAGCAGTTTCTGAAGGTTGCTCCAGGGTACCATACCACGGCCTTGTCTTTGATGTGCGGCGGCACGGAGATAAATATCCTCCGGGCTCAACCAGCATGTGCCGCTTGTTCGCGAGCCCTTCATATTATCATACCACTGTTGGTGGCACTTACGTCGTATCCAGCCTATGCGATTAGCTTCATTCTCGAGGTGCCAATCCGAGCAACATCAACGTAAATAGTCGGAACATGAAACAGCCCTCACAAACGAATTTGGCGTTGGTACTCAAGGAAGACCTGAACCACCCTTGCTCCTCTTCTTGGGCGCCTGGACTTGCAGGGTCGCCCCGTCTCCGATCCTGGCCAGCTTCAAAAGAGTGCCACTTTCCACGAGGGTGTAGGTTTCCTTCCCGCCCTCTCGATGTGTGAGGGTTTAGGATAGGTTTTGGGGGGTTTGCTGCACTTGTCGGTGTGTGCGGAGGGCTTCGGGTTTGGAGTGTAAGGAATCCGGGCATGCACCAAAGCCATGTTGAAAGCAGATCATAGGATTAGGTCGCATCTACAAGTCTAGCGTGAGCTACCGCAATGGCTGCCAGGAAGATATTATGCGGCCAAACTGGGCCCGAAACCACTGTGCCTAGAATGATCTAGCAAGGCAAACGCCTTTTGCTCGCATCTCGAAACCAGGGATGTCGAACAAAACCCAAAAAATGCAACTTCCGCTTTTCAGCCACAGAGTCTGGTCCAGCCGCTCCACGGCGTACGTTTGCTCGGGGAACCTTTGTGCACGGAGCTGTACAAAGCAAGTGGACCCTGCATACCCAACTTCGATCATGCACAGAGCCACAAGAACCCCTCCAGGGCTTCAGAGGCTTGGAACTAGTGGGCATTGCACCGCGGGTTAGTCTCGCAAGGGGCAGCCGGGGCACCGATGATGTGGCGTGAGAAGGGAGTGACCAGGCTCCACGCCCAACGAAGCCTGTCTGCTCTGGCAGTACAGGGTCTAGGGTTTAGGGTTTCAGCACTCACAAGGGTTCAGGGTTTAGGGTTTAGGCAGGTATTTGGTTCGAGCTTCTTGGTTTCATTCTTAACTAGCTCTTGTGGACTGCTTCGTACAACTCTCCTGCTAAACAGACATTGTTCGCACAACGAGGCAACGAACCGTGCACGTACTACGACAGCGATTCTTATTTAGAATACAGTTGTCCTAGGCTGACAATAGTTCTCTATTATTGGTCTATGGCTTCCAGATGGCTTATGATTGTAGTGATCATCATAATCATGGAGGTCCTGGTGGCTTGAACTTCTTTATGGTATGTACATTGTTTTCATGCCCGAGGGTATCATCGCGATGAAAGGCCTGTGCTTACCTCCTACCAGCCTCTCTTGAGCGCACATGATCGTCACCTCAACCATGACAGCTGTACCTTCACAAATACCTCCGACGGTCAACTTGTCTCATCACCGTTTCCATCAGTTCAACATAACAATTAGCGCGAGTACCATCAGCATTACGAACAGCCGCAGCGGCATTATCATCGTCACCACCACCACCATCATCATTCTCATTATCATCACCATGATTCTTACCATCTCTGCTTACCGACTTACCTACTACCAGCTTCGAGTTCACTGCTGAATTCATTCACGGTGTATTGTTGCTGCCGGTGTCCCCGTTCTTCCCCCCCTCCCTGCGCTGCTGAAGCTGCCAAGTCTGGAGCATTGTGGCGCTGCTTTCTCTGCTCACGCTTGTTGCTACCAACATCAATAGAGTCCACTAGGTCTCTTGCTCCAGATCGCCGAGCCGATGCTTGCATGACTGCCACGACCATACCCACCGCGACGGCATTTCCTGTCGTTACCAGACAGGTTCTTTCTCACGACGATGGCTACCACGATTGCTTCTATCAGCGTAGAACACCATGAAAACCATTGACAGTGCGATATCATCACCATATATCACGTGGCCTTCCTGACAGCAAGAACTTAGGAACACTCCGAACGGCAAGCCCTCAATTTTACATCTCTGCTTTGAGGCAGGTGGCACAGAGCTCGTCAAGAGATTGTGGAACGGGCACTTGCTTCCTCACCTCCCCACCACTTACTGCATCCCAAAGCAGCTTCAACTCTTTCAATGCACCCCACGAAGGCCTACGGCTAGGTGAAGCACAGAGCCATGGAAAGAGATCACCGGTCAGAGCCATCACGAGTTTGCAAGGCAAGCTGGCTGTGAATAACCACATGGAACAACCTCACATCAATGACACTCTGTTGGCCGCGGTGTAGGCTAGCCCAATGTTTGCAACATCGAGTCCACACCTTCTCATTGTTCGGCTGACAGAGCGTGAGCTCCCAGTGCTGTCCTAGGGATCCCGGCACGACATCCGGAGAACTCTATTCCCCGTTTTCTCCCGCTGTGGCGCAGATAGCGTTGTTTTGCCTCTGGCATTCGCCTTCTGACCTTCCGCAGACTGCACATTAATGAACAACAGTGGGTGGTTCTGACGGTATGAGCGATACTCAAGCGACGAGCTCCTCTTCAAAATTCTGAAACTGGGCGAAGAGCCCAAACCTCCTATTCTCCAGCAGCTTTGATCCTAGCCCATCAGTGTGCCGGGTGCTAGGGTGAGGATTTACAGCAGGCTCGCCAAGATGAGGGGATGACTCTCGGGATCCTACCGTGCCGTCAAGAAA